TTCTAGTCGGTACGCTCCATTTTCCAAGTCTTCTATTACTTGGAATGGGCCACCCCAAGTGGGTGCAAGCTTCCCATCTAACGTGTCTTCCTTGGGGAAGTCTCTGCCTTCCCTGCGCCGAGCGCGGGTTTGGGCACGTCGGGCGCGTGAGACTCCTTAGAGTCTTTGCCTGGGTTTGCGCTGGGCGCAATTGGTATTGCGCTAGGCGCGTGTGAGCCTTGGGCTCTCTGGCTGGGTCACGCCGGGCGCGAGCACTCTTGCGCCGGGCGCGCTGGTTCCCTGGTGCTCTCTGGTTGTGCCACTCCAGGCGCGACCATGAGTGCGTCGGGTGCGTATATGATGTTGCCTTATATGTTGTCTTATGTTAAGGTGTGTTGATTAATTGCTGAAATTGCTGATAGATGTTGGTTTATGATGAGCTGAGCTGTTATTGATGACTATTGCTGTGCTGTTAGATGATAAATGTTGGATTATAATAATGCTGTGCTGTGTATTGGTTAGCTGTGCTGTAAGTTGATATTGCTGTTAAGCTGTGCTGTGCTGTGTGCTGATATAAGTTGTTGTAGGCCGTAAGGGTGAGTTGTTGTAGGCCGTAAGGCTAAGCTATTGTAGGCTGTAAGGCTGAGCTGTTGTAGGAGATCTCCGAGCTGATATGCGTGACGACGCATTGTGTGTTTACTGCTGTTTATGCCGATTAGTTGCTGAATTGTATGCTGATGATGTGCTGATAGTTGTAGCTGTTTACTATTCATATATTTTCATATATGTACGTTGATTCTTTTTACTAGCTTACCCTTTTGTGGTTTTTCCATGACAACGGGACAGGACTTTAGAGGGCCCAAAAGCCCAAACAAACTGATTTTAGAAGACTAGAACGGGCTGTTCCAAAACTGGAACAGGCCGTTCCCAATTTGGAACGGGCGGTTCCAAGTTTCTAAAAGGGCCAAAAACCCTAATTTGGAACGGGCCGTTCCTAAATTGGAACGGTCCATTCCAAGCTTATAAAAAGGGGGTTAAAACCTTTACTGGAACGGGCCGTTCCCAAACTGGAACGGGCCTTTCCAAGTTAAGAAAAAGGCCTAAAAACCTTTCTTTGGAACGGCCGTTCCAGTATACCAAAAGACGTGTTAATCTTATCTCTGGAACGAGCCGTTCCAATTTCAGAACAGGCCGTTCCAGTTACAAAATTTACACGTAACGGCCATATCCAGAACGGGCCGTTCCGATTTTAGAATGGGCCGTTCTAGACCCTTTCTGAAGTTTATAAATAGATAGCTTGGGCTCATTTCTCAGGGCTCCAAAAAATTTCGTCCAGACTCCTTAGAGCTTGGAATTTCTCTCTTTTTCTCTCTCCCTCTCTCTTTTGTATTTCTTGAGATTTTGTGAGGCATTGTAGTGTGAAAGGTTGCCACAAAGCACCTAAAATCTTCCTGTTTTGAAGATTCGATAGAGCTCATTCAAGAGGTATTTCATTAATCTCTTTCTCTCTTTTTTTATTTATTTCTTACCTATAATTAATATTGTTATAATAAAAATAATCATGTAGACATTTTAGGGTTAATTGTATAATTTAAATTTCAAGCATGTAAATAATTATTAATAAAAGGGGATTTAATATTTATATCATTATCATTTATAATGCTAACTTCACCATAGGATACCAATTAAGGGTGTTGTAGGGGTGCTTAATACCTTCCCTACA